ACTCGGCTTACGAAGCAGGAGCAAGCCGCTTGCAGTTACTTCTCGGAGAATCTATACGACCACGCTGAGGACACATATCACGCAACCTCCGACTTTATGGCCGAATGTCTGGAAGAATTGGAACCTCCGGTGAGCCCGAACCAATCTATTATAAATAGTAGTGTGCACCATGGCTACACGTCGTCGGTTGCTCTTCAACATTTGCCTCCCATCAAATTGCCGCCCTTTGACGGAAAATTCGAGGAGTGGGAGAGCTTTCGCGATCGTTTCACCGCGTTAATCATTGACAATCACGATCTCACGAATTTTACGCGGATGCATTATTTAACATCAAGTCTCAGAGGCCACGCCCTCGATTGCGTGAAGTGTTTAGCTGTGACCGAAAACAATTTCACAGTAGCGTGGAATTTGCTAAAATCACGTTACGAGAGCGCGCGCCGTTTATTGAATGTGCATCTGAGCACGCTGTTGAATTTGAGCAGCGTAACTCGCGAGTCCGTGTCGGATCTCCAGTCCCTACGCGACAGGGTCGGGGTCGCTGTAGCAGCATTGAAAAATTTAAAACGGTCTCCGGAACAATTGTGGAACGACATGCTTGTGTGTATCGTTTCGCAAAGGCTCGATCCTGTTACACGAAAGGCGTGGAATCTAAAGTTCTGTATTTCGTTCTTTCGAACTCTCCCATGAACACGTCCTCAGTTAACACGACATGTCAGAAAGCACTAAAGGTTAACGCAAATCATTGCTGCAATTCCGACTCTCTCGAGTACGAATTGCGTAAATTCTGGGAGATCGAAGAGATGCCTCACAAAAAAATATTAAGTCCCGAAGACGAACGTTGCGAGACTCATTTCCGGAATACGCACTCGCGAGATTCCACCGGAAGATACGTAGTGCGTCTTCCATTCAAACACGGTCCTCCAATTGACATTGGAGACTCTCGCGCTATAGCTGAGAAATCACTGCGCAATTTAATTCGAAGACTCGACGCTCATCCCGCGCAGGCACGCGAATATTCAGATTTTCTCTCAGAGTACGAACTCCTCGGGCACATGCAGGTCGCTCCGAAATCGTTCTCGCACAAAGGGCAATGCATTTATATTCCACACCATTCCGTCATCCGGGATAGTAGCACAACGACACGCTTACGCGTTGTCTTCGACGCTTCGAGAGCAACTTCAAACGGATCGTCTCTAAACGATCATCTCTTAGCAGGCCCGAAGCTCCAATCAGAACTTCCGGCCGTTATAATGCAATGGCGACAGTTCAAATACGTCTTCACTGCCGATATCACAAAAATGTATCGGCAAATCCGCGTTGATCCTCGCGACATGGACTATCAGAGAATTCTATGGCAGTCCGCCTCAGCACACGTCACAGAATTTCAATTACTCACGGTCACATACGGAACAGCCTGTGCACCATTCTTAGCTCTTCGTGTTCTCAAACAACTGGTGCAGGACGAAGGTCAGAAGTTTCCTCTCGCAGTTCCCGTGTTGACGAATCAGACTTATGTCGACGACGTACTCTTCGGCGAACACGACGTAACACGCATTCGTCAAGTACGCGAACAGTTGATTCGACTCTTGCGATGCGGCGGTTTCGAATTACGAAAATGGGCAAGCAACTCGCAGGATCTTCTAGCCGAGATCAACCCGGAGGATCACGGTCTCGCTTGCACAAAACCTCTCGACGAGAGCGAAACGCTCAAAGTGCTCGGCGTCGGTTGGAATCCCGTGCTCGACGTGTTCCAATTCCAATCGACATTAAAGGACCATCCGCCAGATACCAAACGCTCGATACTTGCGATCATTGCAAAAATTTTCGATCCCCTTGGTTGGGTGACACCTGCAACTATCATCGCAAAGGTTTTCATGCAAACTCTATGGCGCCTTAAATTGGAGTGGGACCAAAAGATTCCACCATCACAATTAACTACATGGCACCAAATTCATTCAAATCTTAGGTTGCTCAACGAATTCCGAGTGCCCCGTTGGACAGGGTGCGGTCCACACGTCGTCAAGCAAGAATTGCACGGCTTTGCCGATGTTTCGCTCGTTGCATACGCCGCAGTTGTTTACCTCAAGGTCACTTCATCTGACGGAAACTCAACAATATCGCTCATAGCCGGAAAATCTAGAGTAGCTCCATTAAAGCCCTTAAGCATTCCGCGTTTAGAACTGTCTGCCGCCGTTCTTCTATCACGGCTAATGAAATTCGTACAAGAATCAATCTCAGCAAATACTACTCAATGCTACTGTTGGACGGACTCCACAATCGTATTAGCGTGGATTCGTCAACATCCATCTCGGTGGAAAACATTTGTTGCAAACCGCGTCACCGAAATTCTTGCAAATCTCCCTCATCTCACTTGGCGTCATGTATCAACCGACGATAATCCAGCTGATTGCGCGTCTCGCGGATTGCTCGCACAAGATTTAATCAATCATCACTTATGGTGGTCAGGCCCACCATGGCTAAAACGCTCTTCCGAATTTTGGCCGATTGAGAATAGCACAGTGTCCCACGAAACGGAGCTCGAAGTGCGAACTACATGCGCAACGGTCGCAATGAACGATCGCGAATGGGATCTAGCGAAAAATATTCATCCTGGCCTAAATTGATCCGCGTTACAGCTTATATATATAAATTTTTAAATAAATGTAAACGCAGGAAGCACGATCAACCGCAAGGGTCTGAAGTTCCTGCCGCAGTATCCGCTGACGAGTATCGCAGCGCTAAACTTTATTGGATCCGCTATATCCAACAAGCCTTATTTTCCACGGAAATCCAAGCGCTCACTCATAAAAGATCGCTCAACCATAAAAGTCCAATCCTTTCCTTTAATCCATTCATTGATCAGGACAATGTGTTACGAGTGGGAGGCCGATTGCAAAATTCGCCTCTCCCATTCAACAGGAAGCATCCGATTCTACTCGCGTCACATCCGCTTGTCCATCTCATTATTAAAAATGCGCACGTGCGATCCTTGCATGCTGGATTACAACTAACCTTAAATGTATTAAGACAGGAATTTTGGATCCTACGCAGTCGAAGTATGACCAAAGCCATCATTCATCGATGCGTTCCGTGCGCTCGCGAAAAGGCAGCTGTTCCGTCACAGTTAATGGGAAATCTTCCCGCGATCCGAGTCACAAAACCAGAGCGCAGCTTCCTGCATTGTGGCGTTGATTATGCCGGTCCGATCCAAATTCGCACAAGTAGCGGTCGCGGAATCAAGACTCAAAAGGCATATATCGCCTTATTCATTTGCCTTAATTCACGAGCGATTCATCTTGAGCTCGTTAGTAATTACTCGACCGACGCATTTCTCGATGCGTATTTACGATTCTGCTCTCGGAGAGGATTACCGGAGTCAATGTATTCCGATAACGGAACTACATTCTTAGGCGCTGACAGAGAGCTCGCGTCCGCATATCGGGCCGCTCTCACCGAGAGCAATTTTCAAAATAAAATCGCGACTGACAGTGTAAGCTGGAATTTTATTCCCCCATCTGCGCCGCATTTCGGCGGACTGTGGGAGGCTGGTGTAAAAAGTGTGAAACATCATCTCCGCCGCCTAGTCAAAAACGAGACGCTCACATTCGAGGAATTCACGACGCTTCTTTGTCGAATAGAGGCGTGCTTGAATTCGCGACCTATTGCGCCGCTAAGCGACCATCTCGACGATTACGAACCCTTGACTCCGGGCCATTTCCTAATCGGTTCTGCTATCACAACGACTCCTGAACCATCGTTGCTCAATCTGAAGGAAAGTCGGTTGTCACGATGGCAACGCGTGCGATTAATGACCGAAAAATTCTGGAAACTCTGGCAAAACGAATATGTCAACACACTCCAGCAACGAGTCAAATGGAAGCGCAAACAAGAAATAATAAAGGTCGGTCAGATGGTTCTCTTGCGCAAGCCAGATTTGCCTCCCTGCAAATGGGAGCTCGGGCGCATTACGCAATTACACTCTGGTTCAGATGCATTACCTCGCGTCGTGTCAATAAAAACAGCGTCGTCCGAATTCAAGCGCCCAATCACAAAATTATGTTTATTACCTCTCGATAGCGAGCCAACGAACACTCCATCGGTGTAAAAAAAAAAAAAACCCCCACGCCAAGAAACTCACAAGAAATTTATCATCGAATTTGATTCTGTGTTTACTCGAATTTCACCAGTCATCAATTTCGCATTCGCGACGGTATTACGGCTGGAGCTTCGTTGTCGAGCGTTTTCACTAGTTCGAGAGTTCGATCATATTTCGGAATTGCCATTCCAAGGCGGGCGGTATGTTTAAGATCAATATAAATGCAAGATCTTCGTAAATAAACGCAAATAGTTTAAATGAAGAAAACCGCTACGACATAAAGCTCCGCTACACAAGCTAAGCGATCACTCGAAATTCGGCGTCTCAACAACCGCCGCAAACTCTAATGCGCAAGTCGCGACGCCGAATTTCGTCGCTCGATGAGATCGATCGCCGTCGATCGCGAGAGATCGTTTTGAAAGCTTCACTTGTTCTTAAACAGTCGAAACGTTCAGATTATTAATTCCTTCTAAAACGCATCTGAAAATCTTGAGACTAAATTGTCGAACCGCTCTCCGCGATTTCACGAATCCGAGTGCGAATTAACGTCAATTACTTTCGTTGGAATTTGTTCATTTAATTGTTAAAATTTGTGTTAATTAAATGTTATTGCCTGGTTTACTAAAAAATAGACAGTTGCTTTATTTCTCCGTAAGTTCGAACACCAGACATTTTACCTTCAACTCGCTCGTGTTTATAAGCTTTGTTTTTCGACTGTGCTTTGATCGGCTGAATAATATTTTCTGGCCTTGCTGCTACGTATGAGAAACGGTCGCACGAGTTGGACGATTTGTCGAGATAATAATTCGCATAAAGACTTTCAGCTTCAATTCAAAAAGGGATTCCACCCGCGACTCCGTTTGCTGCGCGTTTTTCGTGAAAACGGTTCCGGTAATCTGTGTCTGCATCGCCGCTAGCATACGCGCGAATTCGACACGAACATTTTGGATTCCAACTTAAAACTCGAAACTTGTATATACATATACATATACAAGTTTCGAGTTTTCAGTTGGCTATTCTGAAAAGTTACCAGTCGGTTAAAGTTAACCGACGTTGGAAAAAGTGGCCCTATGTATCTTATATTTTGTCTTGACAGATAGCAAAAGAAACTAGTAAAATCTAATAACTCGCAATAACTCGTTCCGAAAAATGGGACGCAACGCATTTTTTCGTTTGAGCTTCTTATTTGAGTTTTGCATCCAAATTCAGTGTGTACATGATCCGAGTTCTAGTAACTTTCCCTCAGTCCGAGATCTCGGACCGAGTTCTAGTATCGTGGACACAAGGCTTTAGAGCCAACAAATCAACGTCGAGTATTGACAAGACATATACAACAGTTGTGCAACTGTTGTTTTCCGAACGCATTCATTGACTGCGTTCCGAAATTCACTGCCAGTACTGAAAATCTGCAGTTTACGTTACGTATATTGTAGATTTTCAGTACTGGCAGTGAATTTCGGAACGCAGCCATTGTTGTAGATTGCAAATTGCAGCAGGTTGCGATTTGCACTGCACAGTGCACGGTAGTTTCTGCTAGTTTTGGTTTTTGTTTACTTTTGCACACGTTGTTAGCACGTGTAAATTTATACGAATCGAATATTCTAATATGATATTGTGAATCATGTCAAATATGACGTTTCTCTTACGATCGTTGACATTCTGTATGAAAAGAATGTGTATATCTAAAAATCACTTTAGAGTATTTAACCAAAAAATTCACACATCGAAATGTAAAGAAATGAGAATAATTTCATTATATTACTGTTATTATATAGCAAAATTATTAAGTTTTTTAAAGTTTAACTAATGTTTCTATAGGTATGTTTCATGGTGAATATGAAATGCAAGATCCTAAAACTGAAGCTGATGTGTAAGTACAATAAACACATTGTTACATCGAAAAATCCATTTTATTTAAGAAAAGGATAAATTTTTTAATTTGATTTTATATATAATACAAAGTTTATAAGTAGTATTAAAATTGTAGTTAATACAAAGTACATTTTTCTCTAGTTAGAAATAAGAAGGAAATATTTTTTAATTTTTTCTATGTATAAGTATTATTATATATGAATTAAATTAACAAAATATAAATTTTTATATTTATAATTTGATATTAAGAACAATCAACATAATTTTATCGGTTATTTTTTCAGAGTCAATGTCACCTTCATCGACAAAAATGGCAAGAAATTTTCAGTAAGAGGAAAAGTAGGAGATAATGTGCTTTATTTGGCCCATAGATATGAGATTGAAATGGAAGGAGCTTGTGAGGCCTCTTTAGCATGTACAACTTGTCACGTGTATGTTCATCATGATTATACAGAAAAACTTCCAATAGCTGAAGAGAAGGAGGAAGATTTGTTAGATCTAGCACCTTTTTTGAAAGAAAATTCTAGGCTGGGTATAATATTTTTTTTCTTGAATGACGAAGTCTTTACGAGCATTTATCGAATATGTTAATTCCTAATTCTAATCTTTTTTTAGGTTGCCAGATAATTTTAACCAAAGAATTAGATGGCATAGAGCTAAGGTTACCTAAAGCAACTAGAAATTTCTATGTAGATGGACATACACCTGCTCCACATTAGCAATTATTTTTTCAGAATTTAACAAAGTTCAATATGTAAATAACATATTTTGTATATATTGTCTGTTATAATAAATAGATTTTTATAGATATTTTCATAAATATACAGAATCTAAAAATAACTTATGCAATATTTCTTTATGGTACAATATATTTATTTCTTATACATTGGATTAAGATACACATCTTTTTTCAGTTACAATCATACAAAATTTTAACATATTTATGATATAATAGACTTGCAGATTTAAAATTTAATTTTTGAATTTGCAACATTCAAATATAATAATGAAAAATATCTAGTTGGTTTTTAAACTTACATTTATAGGTATACTTGGAAGTATCATCACACATACATATTTTTTAATTTAGCATCACACATGCTTGTCAAGGAAATTTATACTTATATATACTTATATAAATGTAATTAATTTTTTCGATTATAATTAAAAAAAAAAATTTTCTACTTATTAATTAAATATTATATAAATAATTTTTACATTACAAATATCAACCAAATGCTTAAAATTAATAATAATATACGCAATTCGTACAAAAATTAAGTATTTTATGATAATAATCGACCTGATATTTATATACAGTAGTAATAAAATTATATATATTTATATAATATATGAAGTGTGACAATAAAGTTGCGAATTTACCGCCTTGCATTCACTATAGCAATGTTTGCTAGAAATGACATAGTGCGCTGTGACATGTTACCGTACATTTCTGGCATCACTGGTTAGCTCTCTACAGCTTTCTTGAACTTTCTATTGCAGTGATTGCGGCGTATTCCGATGTTTCGTTTGTAAGCACGGTTTTTCTTTGTGCGTGTTTTGGCATTTGGTTGTAATAATGCCTTATCTTGAATTAGAACAACGTGCGAACATCAAGTTTCTTGTGGAACTCGGTAAAGCTGGGAATAAAATTCAGGAAATGTTAGTGAAAATTTATGAGGATGATGCTATGAAGAAAATTGCAATTTACAAATGGGTTAAACGTTTTTCTGAGGGTAGAAAAAATGTGACTGATAATGATAACGACAGATCAGGTCAATTATCAACGAGCAGAATTGATGGAAACATTAAAAAAATTTGTGAAATTGTACGTGCTAATTATCGATTAACTGTGAGAAGCATTGTGGATGCAGTACAAATTGATAGAGAAACAGTAAAAAATTTTAGCTGAAAATCTAAAGATGAGAAAACAAAGATGAGCTGAAATTTGTCAAGATCTTCTGGAAAGGCAAGATTCTGAATCGTGTCACTAATGACGAGATGGATTCACCAGCATTAATCAAGCTTGCTGTTTAGAAATGCTGAAGACCGTAAAAAAGTTAAACAAACATGACCTGAACTTTTTTTCAAGACCTTGTAGATTCTGTACCATGACTATCCCTACTTGTATAACACTGTCCTGATCTAGCTTCATGTGAGTTTTTTCCGTTTAAAAAAACCTTGAAAGAAACATACAACACTGACATCAAGAATAATACAATAATAGCTCTGAAGGTCATACAAAATCAATTGCAGGACAGCTTTGAAGGCTTGAAAAAGGTGATGGCATATATGCATAGCAAGGAGACCAAGGGGACTACGTTAGGGACCACAGTTACATCCAGCAATAAGGTATGTAGCAATGATGCCGCAATGAGTTCGCGAACTTTATTGTCAAACCTCGTATATACAATATTTTTTTTGAGTATATACAATACTTATTGAATATACAATATAGACAAATTTATATATACATAGTATTTATGAAATATACATATACAATACAATCCATAGATCAATCTATGGAAAGCAGCAAATGGACTTTGAACCATCTATTTGTGATACATGGTGCACATTGTAGAGTGTAGTTTTTGTGGACCAACACAAAGAAATTTTTTTATACTCAGTTCAATGAAGCGGTTTGCCCCATGATATTTAAAGGAGAAACAGATAAGGTAATTAAAAACATTTCCTTGGAATTATCAGTGTGAGAAAGGATGTATCATGATTATTAAAATTTGATTTATCCAACTTAAATTGCAAAACCAACTAGCCAGTCTTTGTTAATCTATTTTAATGTTTTTACATCATATTTTGTATTTAGAATTAAAAAAATAAGAAATGTGTTAATTCTGCTGGTATTGTTTGCAAATTCCTTTGAGTTAATAGTATAAACAACAATAGTATTGACAAATAGACGAACAACAACTGACAGTATATTTGAAGATAAAAATACAAAATTTAACTTTCATTTATATTTAATCAATTAATAATTTATTCAGAAAATTGTTGTCTTGGATTTTAGCATATGATCACACTCCTTTGATAATATCTTTACCTCACATTAAATTGCTGAAGTCAAATAATACTAATTGACTGCACAACAAATTAACGTGTGGTGAGATTAAATAATGCACATTGCTAATAAAGTATATAAAATATAAGGAATATACATTGTATGGGACTACATGTAATATATCTTGTGCTACACCGGGTGTTTTCTCTTTGATCAATTTTAAAAAATGATGATGGAGTGCGTGTACTGGAAGCTGTCTATTTTTTTTGATACTTTTGACAGCAACCTATGCTCCGTTTGTTCCACATCAAATAATGCAATTAATGTGACATTTATACACATTTACTGCATTGTATAATGCAAAGAAATTTCTTGATCCAGTTCAACATTGTGCAGAAACAGCAAAAAGTTTCTCCGGCTATCCCACAGGATCGTGACGCCCGCCACATATTCCGCATGACATCCCGCACCAATGTACAGCTTTAAGTGGAGGATATATCCATAAGCAAGGAACGATCAGTGATAATAATGCCAAACCAAACCATCTGCGTCCGCATCCTTCCTCCATGCTACAACTGCATGATATACATAATGTTTTGTAATTTATTTATTTATTATAATTAATTGAGTATATTTTGAAACTATTTATTATAAATTGGAGCAATTTATTTTTAGAAGACAATTGCATAGGTAATATACAAAAAATACCAATGCACAGCTTAAAAAGTAGTTATGCAAAATTATTCTTTCAAAAAAGTATTTTAATATTCATACAATAATTTTTATACAATCTGTGAGAAATTGGAATTAAATTGGAATAAGTTTATAAGAAAAGTACAAAATAGTAACACAAGTGAAAGTTCGTAACAAGCAAAATGAACAATGTGTGAGATAATTATATAACGTGTAATAATTATAAAAATGTAACAAGTGATAATAATGATATAATAAATTTTAAAAAATAACATCGATGATAGTTGAAATAATATAACTTACCTACAAGGACTTTGTTCAAAATCACCTTCCGCATCACTCATGCAATGATATAGCATACATTGAGCACATGATAAACAAGATACTATTGCGATTCCACGTCTAAATGGATCAGGAGCATATTCACAGGAACCTTTGGGATTGTGTTGTACCGAATATAGCTCTTGACAATGTTTGCAGCGTACAGGCACGTTGCGTTTCACAATATTTGCTGAAGGTTGGGACATTATGATACTTGGCGTTTTCAGCGTACTTCCACTATTGGAGGTATTATGTCCGTCCAATCTTTCACCTTTGCGATCATCGATGATAGGATATAAATATTCATGGTTAAATGTCGTAAGCTGCACATAGGGATAATTATCCGATCCGATATTTGCTGTGGATGCCAAGGGATGTTGTAACGGCGGATCTTTAATAGAGGAATCACCGATGCAGTGTACTCGAGCTATATGAGATGTGTCTGAAGATGGATGTGATTCTAGTTGTTCCACTGGCAAATTCAAAGTCTGCAAAATTTAATAATTTTAATAAAAACTTTGTTGCTCTATTTCTCTTTTGATTTGTTAACGTAACTTTTCTTACCGTTATTATTATAAATTTCCTTGACTAAAGTTTAGTAAAGTTAGTAAATGAGACTATAAATTTTCTTACCATAAAAACATCCTCGTCTCCAGCATCTGCAGCATTGGTGGTCAACGTTAACTCAGACAGACCTATCACATATTGAGGTATAGTCTTACAGTAAAATCAAATGGAAAAATAAAGAACAACAAAATAATAAAACATGACTTCAAAATCATCGAGCTTACCATTTCCACAATCCATAATAAATTGCAGCAAAATAAGTGCGAATAAATTAATAAAATATTGCAAAAGAATCTCATGTTTGTTATAAACTAAATTTACTTTGTAAAAACATGGATGACTTTGATGTAATATCTTTTTACACGCACAATGTGCATTCTGTTAACATGACTGATATTTAGAGCTGATAATTATAAATGTCTGAGTATAGATAGAATATCTAAATAAATATGTATATATAGATAAAATATAAAAAAGACAAAAAACATACTAAATCAAAGTCATCCACTCTATTACAAAATAATGTCAGTTTTAACTATAATAATGAATTTATATGTTTTCTAGACTTTTTTACATTTTTCACATTTAAACCAAATAAATATACATTGAAATTGATAGGGAGAAAACAAAATAAAAAGTGCATTTAAATTAAAGAGATCTTTTTTATACTATTGACACTGAATAACAATCTCAAAATCTAACACTTATTGTAGATGCAATTTTTTAATTTGAACAATTATATTAATTTCTTATAACTGATTTTGGCAAGGAAAATATAATACCTTCTAATAATTCTTCAACTGCTGTTCGAACACCTTTATCAAATGCCCTTGCATCAGCAGCCGTTTGAAACGTTAGTCCAAACTTTTTTTCCCCTGTTCGCCAGTGATGAAAAGTTGGCATTACCTTATTATATTCAAAATCTTTTTTGATTGTACAACTAAGGACAACCTGTAGAAAAAGAGACATTTATTTGCATACAAATCACATACAATAAATATATTTATATTAATATCAAATTATATGTAACATGATAAGCTATATTAAATGTAGCTGCCACATTATTTAAGCATTCTTCTTGGAATAAATGTCAACTAAAATAAATTATTTACAGACATATGAGACTTACGGATTGATCTTTGATGCGTTTGCCATAAATAACATATTCGTGCTTTCTCTTATTTACAGGTGGGGAGATATTAGAAGATTCGTGATTTTGAGGACCAACAGCTGTGTTAGAGGCAGAATTTATGGTAGCGGACACACCAGTTCCATTGGTATTATTTGTTTGATGTATTTCTGATGAAATAACTTTACGTATAACTGAAACATTTGCTAAGCCACCTCCACTCAAAGGAATCCAACCGCCGGAACTGTCATCTCTTGTCATTACCTGGGCGTGGACCTTCACCAAACAGTTATCACTAGAAAAAAAAGACATAATTATTATTATTATATTATATTACACTGATCATAATAATTAAATTAATTCAAGTAAATTAAAGTAATGTAAAGCAATATTACAGACAAATTTAAATGGCATATATAGAGTATCAAGAAAAGAATTACTAATTTTTATTTATAATTTATTTATAAAGATCTATTGGATGAGGATGATAGAGGATATGAGTGGATGAAAAGGGTGATAAAGATGAGGGAGGAAGTCGAGAAGGAGGGACAAAGGGAAAGGGAGAGTGGAAAATCGAATGTTGTAAGCCTGGCCAGCTAAAGCCACGTATATGCCGAAAAACAAAAAGCAAATGTTTCATTAAATAAATATTATTATTACTAATTTTTATTAAATTTTTATTTTTATCCCATTTTAATGAATTCGAAACACTATAATTCATTAACAATACATAAATTGTATAGGCTATTATTTATTATATACAATAACTGATATTAAAGATTACTTTTATTAATTTTTTTATGTGTACAAATAAAAAAAAGTAAGCATTTTATTTTATAGCCTTATTATTATATTTATATATGTAAAACTGATTAAAAAAAAAAATCCTTTTTTTAATACAGAAAAATTTTTTAATATAATAAACTTTTAATATAAAGAATTTTATATAATTGTATACGTTTATAAAGATTTTTAGAGACTGATAGTTCACGTTTAAAAACGTCAAACAATACGTGAATGAGCTTGAAGTTTCATTGAAAATTTCAATTCACGCGAATGTATACGATATCGTCCGATTGATATTGATTTAATGAATGAACGACCGGTCCACATGTAACAACATTGGATACTATTGTAGAGTTGTAGGAGGAAAAGAAAGAATGGAAGACACGTAAACTAGGAAAACAGAAAGAGATTGATAAAAGAGATTGATAAAAGAATTGATAAAAGAATAAATAAAAGCAAGAAATAAACACCGCGAATATTATGCGACAAAATTTGTATTACGTTTATAAATTACGAGATATTCCGAATAGGGGAAAAAAAATAGAAATTTGTTGCAAAATTTATTCGCGTCATTCTAATCCGTAAACAAAAATTGACGAAAAAGAAAAAGAAATAAGATGGGAGAAGAAGAGAAAGAGAGATCCAAGACAGCTGAATAGAAAGTGAAAGTATATACAAAATCAGATAAAAACATGTCTGAACGAAGCGTGTATTCGATGTCAAATGTGGAACGACAACAACAATAATAAAGAGAGTAATAACGGGCACTTCAAGAAAATGGTACGGTCCACGAAGTAGGATGCAGCATGAGAATGAAAACCGCTGTTCGTAAATACTTACTCGTCCGACGTCTCTGTCATGATTCGAGGTATTGAAGCCTTCACTCAAAGCCCACTTTTTCCCACACTTCACCATTTTCGTCGCATCGAAAAGACATTCGATCGCGCGATTCTACCTGCGGAGCATTTTTATTATTTTATTATTTTTAGATCAGCACCGACGCGCGACACCGATACACAGGAAACGCCCCAGCAGTACGCCTCCTCCTCCCTTTCCGCCGCCACCTCCTCCACCGCCGCCTCTTTTTCCTTCACTTTGCACTCACCGTGCAGTTTACGATTTAGTTTACACCGTACGTCTTATTCTCGTACTAAATTCGCACTATATTCGTACTACGCATCGTTTACACCGGTCTGGAGGCTAAAATTCATTTAGTACGAACATAGTACTTGGTACGTATCAAAACGATCGGTGTAAACTAGCTCTATCGCCGCACATCCATCGCCTTCGATATCGCACACGACACAGAACACCACGTCGGGACCATACCAACGATACCAGACCGCCACTAGTCCATCGCGCCTGCTCTCTCAAAGCTGCATCGATCCAGCTTTACAAGCTGGGCCTGTCTCTTCGCGCCTGCGCGACGATCTAGTGTTTCGTCCGAGTAAACAAAGAGTTTGGCCTGCTGTCTGTCACGTTTCGAAAGATTACCCCAATCTTTTCCACGTATCTATACTTTATCCGAATCGCTCTAGTCCGTTGAGATTTCCGCCAAGATTTTCGCAGCCGTAACATTTCCCATGCATGTCGTTGTTTTTGTACTATTGCGCATGCGCGAAAAACCAGGTCCGTATCTTGGAATATTTTATCGACCGCTTACACTCTTTTCACGCTCAGTCACACCGATTACACGTCTCTTCACTTGAAAGGTGTAGTTTTAAAAAAAGACACTGCTCCCCATAATGTGCATCGGAGCATATCGCAATGCGATGCTTGCGAAAAAACGTTTGCTCGCGAAGTCGTTATTAATTAATTTGTTTTTTATACGATTAAATGAACCAAGCAATTTTCGCGAGTGCGAATGAGAAGACAATAGCACTCGTGAACACTTTACAGATTTATTTATTATTATTTAATAGAATTGTAAGTCGTAGTTTTGCGGAATGTTTATGGATTTCCGTAGGGCGAAGTCGCCGGTCTGTGCAACAGGATTCATTCATCGATGTACACAATTCTATATATAACAATCAAACGCGCCGACATACGTGCCTTATTGGTAGCAGCGGGTAAATATGAACAACACAGTCGACATAACTGATTCGATGTTCAGATTCAAATTAATATAAAACTACCAGGGCTAAGTGAAAATTATCTAGCATTGCGAGGATAGATCTCTGGAGGCAAGTTCAAGAATATACATATATTACACGTTGACTTATAAAAAACTACAATAAAATGTTAAGTTAAATTTAGCAAGCTTCTTTTGACTGTAGAAATTTTATTTTACTTCTTATTGTGTTTTTGAGTATTTAAATTGAGAAATTATACCTACTCGAATATAAACTAAATAGAGGAGATAAATTTTCTTGCATAATTAGACACAACTTGTCGTAATTTTTTTATTTTAAGAATGTGACATTACCATGTGAGTTTTGTATTAATTATATTTTCTGCCAGCAGAGGGAAGTAAGATTTTCTATTTCTTTTAGGTTGTGTTCTACACAGTTCTACATCCGGTACGTTTGTTGTTCGTATTTAATAAGAAAATTTAGCCGACGTAATTAATCTGTTTCATAAATAATAGCAGTACTTTGCGAAGCATTATATTAAGTAACAGTAAGATTAATTACTTTCTCATATTTTACTTAATTGCCGAAGATTTCTATGGATTATCATAACTTGTTTCATGTGGCACCTTAACCTTTCATATTGTGAAGGAAAGCGTGTATACACAATATAAGTTAAAAATGTTAATTGAGGAGACATTAATTTAGAATTAATTGTTATATCTCAAAAAATTCCGAATTCTACAAATGTGTAGCAATTTCACGTAGTTTTGAACAAAATGTTCTCATCACTACCCATCATTGCTGTCACACATAACCCTAAAGTTCTCTATTAAGTTGTTTGTGAATTGTGATTTTATAATTTTCTTGGAGAAATATTTATGTGATAATTAATATTCTTGTTATGTTATTATGTTTTTTTTTTTTTGTAGAAAATGACGAGCAAAACGAAAACACCTAAGACAAAGGAAGGCACTACAGAAGATGCGCCTGTGGCTCTGAGAAAAAGACCTTTCAAGAGGCATGGACGTTTGTATGCAAAGGCAATCTTCACTGGTTACAAACGTGGATTGCGCAATCAACACGAGCATACCGCTCTTCTTAAAATTGAAGGAGCCAGAACTAAACTAGACTCTGATTTCTATATAGGAAAACGATGTGTCTATGTATACAAGGTAAAACTATGTACACTTTTATGTATAAAGAACTAAGTTAATGCAGATAATCAAAACATATATTTTCTTAGATTAATTTTATAGATTTAATTGTCAACTTTTATTTTCTTACATCAAAAAATCTTTTTTTATATCTAATATCTTTGGATGTTGAAATTTTAAATGACAGTATAGTATAATTTGTTGCTAATTTAAATTAAATATATAATTATTTTATTAAATTATTTTTTAAAATGATTGATTATTAATAATTAATGCATAAAAATTAGGCTAAAAACAAGACTCCCGTACCTGGAAAAACCACAAAGAAAACAAAGGTAAGGGCCATCTGGGGCAAAGTTACTCGTCCTCATGGAGCAAGTGGATCAGTACGCGCTAAATTTAAGAGAAATTTGCCTGCTAAGGCTATGGGTCATCGTATCAGAATTGTGAGTAAAAATTTATTACTTAATGATTTTATAGAAGCATCTATTGTAATCCCTATTGTAAGTTTTATACACATTTTTAATTAAAAGAAATGTTTAATTTGAATTATTTTGTGTTGCAGATGATGTATCCCAGTCGAATATAAACTGTTGTATAACATAAATAAATAAATACCATTTTGGTACCAAAATCTGCATTTTTAATCTTATATTCATAATCCCTGCAATGATATTAGTCAATTATAATATAGAAAAGCGTTAAATATTTCTCTTCGTATTAAAATAAAAATGAATTTTATATTCGCATGTATTTTAACTTTATTGTTTATCAGGGTAAATTACACAAAATTTTTAAATGTTTTTTTATATTGGTTTCTCACATCTGAGGATTATTGCTGCAAGACTGCAGAATTATATGTGTGCGCGCGCGCATTATTTTCTCTTCGTTACAGTTACAACGCAAAATCTAACCTGATCTTACTTAATCTAACCTCAACTTTGTATCATACCGAGTGTTTAAAAAAACAATGAATTTACACCGTTAAGTATACGAGGAAGTACCATGAAATATGGGACGCCACGTGATGAAAGCTTATCCAAATAATTCATGTTGATTAAAATCTGGGAAAGGAAGCCATTTTCGTGAGATTTGCTTATGCATAATTTGAATAGTGTTTCTCATCGGGGTTGCGTCAGTCGAGCTGCGTGACCGTTTACGGATGGATTTTGCACATTTCGGAGAATAAGCGGAAAATCGGTAGCCAGGATTCATTCCCAGTGAGAAAGAAAAAAAGCTGTTTTTCTCCTGCTATCGATACAATGTTATATTTGCTGCATTTGTAAACAAATTGCAAATCCATAACTGCAAGCAATTGTAAACAGCGATGTTTTGCTGTTTGAGAAATTGTTTCGACGGCCTCGGCTTTGCTGCGACTCAAGCACCGAAACGGGAGCGAAATCCTATCGCCTTAGACACAACTCACATGGGTAACTGTCATTTGTGACACAAGTGTCAGATCATGGGGATTAATTGATGTGACGTAACGGAAATCATACGTCGCCTAATTTACACGACACTGTATTTAAATCGTTTTAAAATAATGCCTGTGTAATTTGCAAATAGATGTTGATTTTATTGTTTTCGGGTCATTAAAAATATATTTAGGATATATTCTGCAATATTATGCAATAATGTGAAATCACACATAATTTCCATGCATTTTAATATTGACATATATTCAATAATAACAAGTATTTTAAAAAAGTTCGATAAACTCGTATATTTTTTAGACACTTGTTCCGTCCAGATCTCTTTATGAATCTTGAGTGTTTTTTTATATAATTGGTGTATATTTGAATTATATACGGATATCTTAACTGGCAAGTGTAATTGTGATTTTTAAATACTTTTTTTTGTAGGAAATGAAGTAGTGATAGTGAAAAATGGTCTAAGAATATGCGGAAGTGGCGGTGCCTTAACAAATGCTCCTCTCGTTCAGAGTAAAAGTTACTTTGAAGTAAAGATACAGCAGGGTGGCATATGGGCTATTGGACTGGCTAGGAGGGACGCGGATCTTAATGTTGCCGTAGGAGGGAAGGATTCAGAAAGTTGGGCACTTAATTCTGATGGTATCATAAGGCATAACGAGCAAGAACTTCATAAGATTCAAAATCCTGTACAAGAAGGAGATATCATTGTAAGTATATACCTACTATTATGTGTGATGTTTCTATTTGAATATTTTATTTAAAAATTAATAGAAATTTAATTGGAGAGTTAATAATTTTTTTATAGCTATTCATATCTCTTTAAAATAACCAGAATTTTTTTCAGGGAATAACCTATGATCATGTAGAGTTAAATTTTTATTTGAATGGAGAATCAATAAATGCTCCAATTATAGGAATAAAAGGAAGGGTTTATCCAATATTATATGGTAAGTTTTCTGTTCTAAAAATAAGTAATATCATGAGATAATAGACTTTTATCAGTGATATTGTTTAATTTAATTTTTAGTGGACGATGGAGCCATTTTAGACATAATTCTGGAAAATTTTATTCATACTCTACCAATGGGCTTTGAGAAAATAATGCTGGAACAATCATTGCTCTAGCAGAGTGATAAAAACAAAAGTAAATGGTCGGTATATTGTCAAAGTTGATATTTTTCATCCATTTCAATTTTGATTAAATGTTGAAATTAGTTGAGAAAAATACAAATCCTAACTAAGGGGCTACAATGGCATAGTGTTAAGAAAACATGTCATGAAGTATAAACGTTTATTATAATAATTGCATGATGATATGTGAATATACTTAAATCGAGGAACGTGAAATAAATGATTTGCCTAATGATGTGGATCTATTTTTCGATGTATTCTCTACAGAACACAAAGATTTGTAATAAGTAAATTTTGCATAAGTAACTGAGAATTCTTCAGATTTATTAAAATTAAAGGGTTTACAACATTAATCGTTCGAATGAGTTAGATTTAGCTCTATTCGGATCCGATATCTATCTTACAACTATATATCTTTGTTTATAATTGTATAATAATAGATGTAATTATAAATATGTGTGTACAATTTGTGTAATATATAATATACATATATGTACGTATGTATATCCATTGTATACATATCGATTTTTATTGATCCTTAGATGACTAATGGTATGGTATGTACACTGGTTTAAATAATCGACCGCTTTAGGCCTATTGTTCGCTTTTTTAGGCTAGTGTCATGGCATTTCATTAACTATTTCTTTTTATAGTTTCTTTCTCTTACTACAAGTATTGTATTGAATATTAAAGCTAATGTTTCATGTTCTTTTTAACACGTCGAAAACTTGCATCTCTTTTTACATCGTTAATCGTATAATTGTTTGACCAATTCAGTATTATGAAATAAATTTTTACCGACATTAAACACACGAACATCTAATGCAAAATAAGCTGCAGAGACTATCATTTAATCGAATAGAACTATACTTTACGTGATATAAGAATCGATCACAGTCAGATAAGCGCATATTAATTAAAATATAAGAATAGCTGAACAAAAAAACATTAAGATAACAATTTGCGCTTATCATCGACGTAATAAGAGTTTTTTATCTAATGATGTGTATAAAAAGTTTCTTACAACTGTTTGTGCTGCAAGCTTTCTGAATACTTGCTGAAACATATTATATCTTTGGTCCTTAATATTAATTTTAAACAATTATCAATATCAATATTGTTACGCGCTTAACATTACATATTTGTATTGTATAAATAGGTCATTCGATTGAAACAATGTACTACCTTATATTATTTGCCATAATGAAATCTCTACGTGTTGAACATAACATATTGTTTATTTATTCTCAGTGGTTAATTTTTTTAATACATAATTTTTATGGCACTCTGTTTCCTATATAACTAAGTAATTATATATATTGTATTCATTCGAAAGACCATCATTACATCTTTAAGAGAGCCTTTGCAGCCTATATTATAATTATTAGCCGCTGATTAAAATAATAGCTATATTACAATTATTTTATGACTGGATGATATGAAATATTTATAATGGTAACGCACGTGAATTTTATTGCACTTATTGTTGCGTGTTCAGTTGGTATAAATCATGTTAAAGTAGAATGACTGACTTTAAAGAGATAATGATCACGATTATACTGCCGTTTGATTAAACTATGTAGGCCCGCAATTAAATAACTTAAATAATTTTATGAAATATTTGCAAGGAGGACTTCCGATGTGATTTATAATTACATAGATATTGAACACTTCTTAGAACGAAATGATAGTATAATTAATAAACAATGTAGCATTTTCTATAATATAGATTAATCGAATGTAGGGCCGTTGTAATCATCAGTTTTTCAATAATGTGCAGATCAATATGGGAAATCAGTACTTTTTTCCTCCACGTTTGAAGATACATTGATTTGTGTACGGTTTACCACATGATTAGTATTTTATCACTCAAACTATAAAAATGCTTTTGTAAAACTAATGAGCTTGTTTCAATTATGCTGCAAATAATTCGACTAAAAAATATACTTTCGAAGATATTTACAAAAGTAGTTCGAAACCTTCACACTTTTTAATTAGAATATGCTACTGATATAAAAAATGTATAACGCATAAAAATTTATGAAACGTTAAAATATGATTACTATTTTCTTCTTGGCTTCCTCTATAAATGATAGTGTGCAAAGTAATTTGAGATTTGAAATGATTCATTTATCTTTTAATCAAAAGATAATCTCTCTTTTAATATAAAACATTTGTGCAATAATTATAATGACATTCGTTATATTTACGTCTGGATGATGCATAATGTGAATTCAATATTATGCGTATCAAACATAAATAAAATTAATTATTGTTATTATATAATTATTTAACATTTTTGCATTTCAAAATGTCAATTTTCCTGATGTGTATTTTTAATTAAAAGATAATCTCTCTTTTAATATAAAACATTTGTGCAATAATTATAATAACATTCGTTATATTTACGTCTGGATGATGTATAATGTGAATTCAATATTATGCGTATCAAACATAAATAAAATTAATCATTATTGTTATTATATAATTATTTAACATTTTTGCATTTCAAAGCGTCAATTTTTCTAATGTGTATTTTTTTTATAAATAATTTAGAGAAATTTATGCTTATTTCAATACTTGAATACAATAACATTTTACATCACATTTAGGAATAAATAATGTTACTTAATATGTCTGTTACTTAAAATATAAAAATTAAAAAAATTTCTGATACAGAAATTCTAGATAAGTCTGTTTTTTTAAGCAAATAAAAAAGTCATGTGAGGATACTTTAAAACTAAAGCAACAAACTTTTGTAATTAAAATAATTTTCAAAATGTTTTTCGTATATAAAAAAACTATCATTGTATATATAATATTAGTCAATTTAGATAACAAGTTATTTTTATCAACATGTATTATAGAACTATTTATGTAAATCCTGTTTATTAAATAAATTATAGAAATCCATTGGATTAATCAAAAGAAATGTTTGTGATTTATATAAAAATTTATATAAATTTATATAAATTTTTATATACAAATATAAGTCACCAACATTTGTTTTGATTAATCTAATGGATTTATATAAACTGGATTTATATAATATAAATCAATAAAGAAATATAAAGATATGTTTAATTTAATTTGAGATAAATTATCAATAATTCAATCTTTAATGTCATAAGTATAAAAAATTAGCAACTTTACGACTATTTATATAATTATAAGCAAAGATATTTATATAAGCAAAGATTACTTATATATGGAAGAACTTTTATAGGGTTTACGAGCATTTCATGAATCATAAAAAATTTCTGCGACTAATATGTAACAATTTTTACATTTTTAGCTACTAATAGAGTACCTAGGTTTGTCATACCAAGGTTCTCCGAGCTTTCTTTGGTTTTGTCCAAGTATATTTCTGTGCTTTTGGTAAATTTTAGATAAGTGTGTGATGATTTATATGTAAAGCACTCTGTTTCAAGCATTTTCTTGAAATGCTTAAATTCAGAGCAAAGCTATTTGCTTGGTGTCAAATGCAAAGCTTCGATAAAGATTGCTTAATAATTTACTCACACATTATTCGTTATATGTAGTATCTTCAATGACAGAATCCCAGTTAAATTCTGTGGCACTTTGCCTCGATGGTAATTCACCAAGGTGTTGGAATCGTTGTACGAAATAGGGATCACGATCTCTAAGCCGTTTAAATCTTTGAAAAGCGAGATTCTTTGCAAACTCGTAGAGCTCCAGGTCCAGACTGTTGAGTCTACGTACGGCGTCTAATTGCTCCGCGCTAAGAGTTGCCATGGTAGCTGCACTGAGTGTGGCATTATGCTGCTCAAAAGCCACCGCAAATCGCATTCCAAATGTTTCTTCGAAAGAATACTGCCCAACCTAATATGTAATACAATATTTTGCCATTAGTATAAATATAAAAGTAAAACATATAAGACATCTTTATCATTAATTTCAATATTTTCAATAATTTATGAATTATATATTTTGATTATTACAGTACACAATTGTTTTAATAACTGAAAATACAGGCGTAAACAGTTTATTTTACATTATATACTTTATGCCATATTTTCCTATTGCAAATACTAATTATTATATATATATATGTACAAATATATAGATTCAATATTTTAATATAATTATATGTAAGTATGATATATAAACAAGTAGATATTTTGATAAAATAATGATTTAAATATTCTAACATGAACTGTTATATTATTATGCAATTGAATGTTTCTCGATATCAAGTATGTGAGAGATCAAGGCTAACAACTTTAACTTGCTCCGATAGTAATATGTTACAACGAAAAAAAAGTTAATATATTCATGATAAATTAATATCACAAGAAATCATACGACGTTACAAAAAAATAATAATTACATTAAAAAAAGATGCTTCTAGAATTCTGGAGCACTTTATTTAATGATGTTATTTTTCAAGTTTATATAATACACAAATTACGACAAATTATATAAAAATAACAAATTTTTAAATATTTTCTGATTGTGTATTACACATAGAATAGCCATCATAAATGTAAAAGATTAAGGATAGCATTGGATAATCTATGGAATAAACCTTTTGCTCGCAGATGTTGAGAGGGGAGTTCTCATAAATATTTACGTTTAGATGTCTATTCTTAAGCAGTCAAGCCGCGAACGTGATGCATAAGAACAACAATTTAATATAGCTTACAATATTACTGTTGTATTATTAAATTTACGATTGCTTTCTCCAATATTCTGCATATAGAATGTAGAACGAGTTATAAAATATCTTATTTTATCTTATTTTATTGATTGATTACTGATAACGTGATATCTCTCCAATCGATAAAAAGGATGATTTTTAATAATGAATATTATACGAGTATTGTAACGAATTATAAACGATACAATAAATGTTAAAATAATAATAATTATAATAATAGTAATAATAATATATGTATTGCATACCTTCTGATATTCAGTCAACATGAAGAATGGCATGAACTGCAAGTTGTGCTTAGCGCTGGCCAACATTAAACGATCTCTATCAGCACTACTGAGAGTGGAGTTGTAACAGCCAACTATTGACAGATCTGCCAGCATTCTGGTTTGACGATTACTCGCCAAATTGTAGGGACACGCCATAAACTGAACAAATATAATAATCACATTATTAAACAGAATTCTTTTTCGAATCGGTATCGTAATCTTTATTTTCCATTTCTATTACTTCAGATAAAATCCTGTTTTTGTCGCTCATATTGGTAACAACAAATTATAAGCATAATGTACTCTTATTATGGCAGAGGGCAAAGTTATCTGGCAGGAAATAGGGGTCTATGTAAATCAAGAAAGACAACTTTTATTGTGATAAGGAAAAACTCTTATCTTAATGTATTTCTAGACATAGAATAACGTATGAATAGGTTGCTGTTGTATGCAGCCCATCTTTCATAAAAAAATAACATGAGACAAATAAGTAAAAGTACTGATTAGATACAGCAAACTAAAAGTTCAAGTGCTTATGCACACAAAATGTGAAATACCATTACCTGTTCTAAGGTGACGCCTTGCCAACTGGGACCATTGTAACATTGGGGTATATTTGCTTGAGTACCTCCGCACCAATGACGAGCACCTCTCCACGTAGCGCCTCTTTGGACATGTCTAAATTCGGAGAGATACCTCGCTACGGGATCTCTTATAATAGTTATGTAAAAGTAACGGCGTTTAATGCCTTCCGCTTCAATCTTATTGAGCTCGGTATCTACGCAACCCGTGAGTTCGGTCCAATCTGCGTGTAGACCGCACTTCCAGCCGGTGGAATATCGTGAGAACAACCAGTTTTCGTTACGATTTGGACGGAAACAGAAGCAACGTTTGCGTCGTCGTTGACATGAACATGGTCTCTGCAGATCTAGATCTCGTACTAGATGTTTCCCAAATAGTGTCCCACCTTTTGACAAGAGAAATGTAATGTTAAATATGTTCTAACAAGAATAAAATAAAGAAAATATTTTCATGTACAAATGTATAGATAAAATTTAGCAATTTCTTATTATTTGTATATATAAATATTATGTATAATTATGCCATATATGTAATCTACCATTGGTTTTTTAAAACTAAAATTTACAAAACAAATGTATTATAAGGTAAACTTTTACAAAAGAAAAGTTATGAATACAAAAAAAAAGAAGATAGAAAGAATGCAAGCATACAGCATACTAAATAACTGCATATCTTTGAATTATTCTTTTTCTTTCTTTCTAAGATAGGGCTTGGGGCTTTGAGTATGTCTGATGAATAATGCAATAATTCAAGTGCACAATGGCTCGAAGGGAAGTGACATTGCTTTGTTTCATTTTTGTCCAATCATATACTAAAAAAAATCTTGATGCAATATATGCTTAAACACATTTTGACACACATTTTAATCTTAATTAAATTTTTACAATTTTATCAAAGATTTGCTTACTTTTCACAATGTTGTGCAATAAATCTTACAAACATTTATATTTAAATGTTAGATAATTTTTATCACAACAGATATTTCTGGTTCTAGCAATTATTCCGTTGTGTCTTCACAAGAGTAAAAATAAAAAATTATAACTTGCATAAAATGCTGCGATTTGAAAAAATCAATTCAGAAATAAATTCTGATGCATTTATATTAAAATTTATAAATGGATAAATATGAATTAAAAATGAATTATGAATTGCAAAATAACTTGCATCTTGCATTATGAATCACGGATTGAACCACAAATCAAAACTTTATGTGGCATCAATAAATTTTCGAAAAAATTATTTTCATAAAACTTTACTCATAAATAATAATGAACATAGAGAGACTTTCTTTAGATACTTGCCAGTTTTTTGTATATGCAAAAAAACCATGACATCGTGAGCGTTGATATCAAACTGGAAGGTGTCGTTGGCGAAGACATCATCATAGCCCAGGCTACCCTGGATGCTCTGCAACTTGAAGGCGGGATGCACCGAGAGCAGGCCGTTCTTGTCGAATTCGACGGACACGGAAGACAGAGCGGCGGAACCGGCAAGAGAGCCGGCAGCAGCAGACAAGCTCTCAGATACCCTGACGGACTCTTTGATCTCGCGGTTGGTTAGAGCGCACACGTGATCCGGACAAAAGTAGCCCAAGTAAACGATTCCGGTTAGCGCGAGGAACAAACATACCCCGACGACGCTACGCAGGCGAGCCCTGCGCGGATGCCGCGACTCCATCATCGTCGTCGTCGTCGTCGTCGCGGACCTCCTCCTCCTCTACCTCCTTCTTCTCCAGCACGGCGAGCACCGCGAGCTCGCTAGTGACAGCGTCTATCTTTGCATCCGTACCAGTCTGTCTGCCCATTATTATCGCGATCCATGCTCACACTCCTGTCAACTTCACCCACCTCTCAGTGAAGGACGACAACGCACTGTCGCGCGCCACCGTACGCCGACACAATCCAACCGTGACTACATTCGCACTGAACGTCGGCCATGACAGATGCTGTCTACATTCCCCCCGCGCACTCCGCTCCGAAGCGAGATCAGCTCGCGTTTCGTTGCTGCGCTCTCCTGAAGCTGTATGTGTGTATACGTACTTATATTATTCGAGAAATGTAAGTGCACACAGTCGTTACTTATTGGTTTATGTAGCGCTCGTTGGCCCAACGCGTACATTTCGTACTCCGACGCGTATTCATATGACGCAGTGGCTCTCCATGCAAATGAAAGCCACATCTTTTTTTGTCGCGTTCAAAGAATAAAAATGCAATATCTCAATTGTCAAAAAAAAAAAAAAACAAATGCAAAAGGTAATTATTATAGTTATTTCTTCACAAACTTAAGGTACTTTGCTTTTTATGAATTGTTATATTGATATTTCATAAATGTTTTATGGATTCTCTCAAACTGATTGCAAAACAATTTATCGCATATTAAAAAGAGAAATATCGCATTTTAAAAAGAGAAAGATGGAGTGTAAGAGAAGAGCTTTCAATAAGCTGCGTATTTATATAATTGTCACTAAATGAATAAGTATTTATTATTTATAAAACAAAACATACGTGATAATATCAAAGAGAATTGCTCATGACATGTGAGCATTTATCTTTATTAGATAAATTGTGGTAATAATTGGTGACAATTTATAGTTACAATTATGACTAAAGTAGTAATACACAATGTACCATGAAGTGCGCGGTGCAAGTTTGCAAGTTTTTTTCAGGGTTGGCCAAATCATGAATGAGAATCAATATGCGTGGGTTTCTCATTAAAAAATATATTTTACCGCGTCACATGTGCATACGAGAAATCTAGATTAGGAATGCAAAACGACGTAAGTGTGAAAACACTACTTCGTGCAAATGGAAGTAAAAACGACCAAAAGAAATCCACTTGCCGAAATTCGATACGTAAGTTGCGAAAATAGAAGTTGGTATTCATAACCTTGAATTTCTCTCTATTTTCAATCCTATTTAGAGATATTATTTAATAATCGAACAATAAATATTGAATATAAAATAAAGAATAATGTATTTTAATGTATAGCAATTTTGAACAGGAAAGTGAATTATATCTTGCAAGCAATGATATAAAAACATAAGAATTTGAAAAAGACCATAAATTAAATTTCTTATGAATTTCGATATAAATGTTTCATGAATGGTTTACATATTATTTTATATTTATTTTAATTGTATACATTGTTGACAAGTATCGACTACGATCATGTTTCAAAAAGAGAAAGAAGTATAAAGTAAGAGGATTTTTAGCAGTTCTGAAGTTACATAATTGTTTATTTGCATAGATAAAAAATTGAGTAAAAATATTGCTCATATGTAAGCATTTCTTAGTTAGAATATTTTATCATAACTATATGTATTTATATATTATAATTAGCATATTTATGTAATATGATATATAATATATAATATATAAATATAGAATTAGAATTAGAATATTTATATTTTACGTATTTGTGTGTAATATTTTATGGTTCTAATTATGACTAAAGTTGCAATATACGATGTATCGTGTGAAGTATGCGGCGCACATATTTGAGTCTCTAGAGTTGATCGAATGAGAATAGATGTGTAGATGCATGTGTTTCTCATTAAAAAGTATATTTTCTTACGCGAGATTTAGATTCGAGAATGCGATGTAAGTGCGAAATTATTTTGTGCAAATAAAAGTAAATGCGACCTAAAGGAATTTATTCGGCGAAATTTAATACCTGAGTTGGCGATTATAGCGCGACTGGTGTTTTATAACCTCGAATTTCTTTCTATTCTGAATGCATGTATGTATAAATATCATTCAGTAATAAATGATAAATATCGAATATAGAATAAAGAATAATCTATCCAGACAACACAATATATCCAAAAGATGTCCAGAGGATATCCCGAAGACGTTTTTGGGACGACAGGACATCCTCTGGATATCCTTTGGGTGTATTTTGGACATATTAACATTGTTCGTGTCGAATTCGCGCGTATGCTAGCGGCGATGCAGACACAGATTACCGGAACCGTTTTTCACGAAAAACGCGCAGCAAACGGAGTCGCGGGTGGAATCCCTTTTTTGAATTGAAGCTGAAAGTCTTTATGCGAATTATTATCTCGACAAATCGTCCAACTCGTGCGACCGTTTCTCATACGTAGCAGCAAGGCCAGAAAATATTATTCAGCCGATCAAAGCACAATCGAAAAACAAAGCTTATAAACACGAGCGAGTTGAAGGTAAAATGTCTGGTGTTCGAACTTACGGAGAAATAAAGCAACTGTCTATTTTAGTAAACCAGGCAATAACATTTAATTA